ATAATAATAATAATAATAATAATAATAATAATAATAATAATAATAATAATAATAATAATCAACCATCTATTAAAAATAAAATAAGAACTAATAGTAAAAATATATATATAAAAAAAAAAAGCAAAAAAAAAAAGGCCGAAAGGGCCCATTATCCTTACCTGCCAACAAAGGCTTTGAAAAGGGTTAACAACACAAAGCAGAAAGCTTTATTAACCTCGAAACGAAGCAGAAAGCTTTGAAACAGCGAAAAAACGAAAAGAAAAAAGAGCAGAGGAAGAAAGAAGGAAAAGAGAAAAGAAGGAGGAAGAAGTGGGTGCAGTGTATTGGAGCCATAGTTATAACTGTTGAGGAATCTTAAGCACAAATTGTCTCTTACGNAAAACAAAAAAAAAAAGGCCGAAAGGGCCCATTATCCTTACCTGCCAACAAAGGCTTTGAAAAGGGTTAACAACACAAAGCAGAAAGCTTTATTAACCTCGAAACGAAGCAGAAAGCTTTGAAACAGCGAAAAAACGAAAAGAAAAAAGAGCAGAGGAAGAAAGAAGGAAAAGAGAAAAGAAGGAGGAAGAAGTGGGTGCAGTGTATTGGAGCCATAGTTATAACTGTTGAGGAATCTTAAGCACAAATTGTCTCTTACGGGTATTACTTGAACTTTTTCTTCTGGTAGATTTTAATTTCGATTCTCTTGATTGGAAGATTCTACAGAGTAATAGAAATTACACTAGTTCATTCACACAATTGAGAATTTTCTTCCTAAAGAACCAATAGAACTTTATGAAATTTGGAGTAATAAATTATATGAATAGGTTGGAGTTGATAAATTAGTAATTACTCATATGTGGGTAAATATAAATCCACAAATTAAGATCGAAACATGAACCCCGATGATTGGGTATTCTAAATTAGCTTTGAATTAGCCTAAATAAGGAAATTAACATGAGATTGATATTATGTAATTATAGATTGATTGGAGGAATTTGTACGAATTGCTCGAGGTGAAGCATTTGGTATTTCGGCACGAGTACTGTGAGTAGTAATCTTACCGCAATTTGTGTTTTCATAACTTGCATGATTTACACATGATTTTTAATATGAATATGTTACCGATTATTTTGAGTTGCATGTGGGACAAGTCTTTTACTCGATATGATACCGAAATAGTTATTTGAGATAAATACCGTGGTTTTAAATATTTTTATGTCACTAGATCTGTTTGACCGTTTCTTGAATTTACTGTTATCGAAAGAAAATTACATAATTTGATAAATACCTAAATGCCCTATATTGTTTTAAATTATTTTCTACGAGTATATGCGGATTACAGAGACAAGTATAAATGAGAGTAGACATTGAAGGATCCCGTAGCTAACGGCGGGTTCGTTAGACCTGGTGCACCTTGTATTTACCGATTACAGAGTACAGTTATAGCCCTCGCTAATGGGAAGGTAGAACTAGCATACCGTTACCGATTTCCCTCGAGTAGGGACTACCGTTATATATGACTTCTTGCAAAGAAGTCCACAGTTATACCAAATACATGATCCGTTCATTGAAACCTCCCAAAAATGTGAATATTGATATTATGCAGTGGTTACTGAGCTTATTACTGAACTGTTAATTGTATTATATTACAAGAAAAGTATGATGAGACTGAAAATTATTTATTATTTCTGAAAGGGCATTTTTATGTCATTTTCTATTTGAGATACTAGCATATTTTCTGACTTGTTCCCAAATAAAAACGATTATGGTTAAGTGTTATTACTCACTGAGCTAGCGACTCATTCCCCGCTAATTTTTTTTACAGAGACAACAGCTGACTCGGGCGAGGATCTCGTTAATTAGAGCGCACAGGTTGAGAATTCTTGGTGAGCCTCGCACTTGTTCGCGTGGGCAGAGATTTTATTTATTGTTATGGTCTTTCCATTGAACTCTTAGAGTTGCTCCATAGTCAGTATTTTAGTGTCATGAGTATTTTTTTGTTATTATAGTCTTATGTTGAGTATTGTTCTCATTTATCAAGTTGGAGATAAATTAGTATTTCTAGTGGTTAGTTGGTGATTTAGTTATGGTGGAGACATGTATTGGTTAATTGACAAGTTGTCAATTGTTTGGTATGATATTAGGATGTTTGGTTGTTGATTTGAGACATGAAATTTTTTTGGGATGGTCCAAAAACAGGGGAAACTCTACCCGGTTTTCTGTAAAATTACTGATGAGGCTTACTTGGGAGCACTTCTCCTAAGCGCCGGTCACAATCCTAAATTGGGTCGTGACAGATTCCATCCTTGATAGTTACAGTAGTGCACACACAAGGGAGAATTTCATTTATTGAAGTTGAATTATTTTTAGTATTTCGTCTATTTTAGTTGAAGAGATTAATCTCTATCATATCAAGCATGAAACGGTCTTTTTTGTTCAATCTAGATCGCGTTGCAATTTGCAGAATATTGCTGTCACTACCTCTTTTTTTTTGGTTTGTGTAATTCTCTTTGGATTATTTCTGATTTTCAAATAATATTTTAATCTGATTCATGGAAAAAAACAAATTGTTTCTCTAAGAAAAAATAAACTCAAAAGATGTCAGCTTGTCCCCGTATTACAGGCAAAATTATGTGTAATGTGGTCGTGCAATATTGGTACTAAGAGGAAACGGGGTTAAAAAAATAAAATACAAACGTTTATCTGAAAAAACTTATTTATCGGGAAAAGCTAATTCATTATCTAACGAACTGTACATTCCACAAAATCAGCCAATGAACTCAAACAAAACCCTAAATTTTCCAGTGAACATCCAATAAGTGTATCAAGAACATACCCAAATTGGGAAATTAACTAAAAAATTCATCAAAAATCAATTGTGGGTCTTGAATTTTTATTACCAATAGCCAACTACATTGGCCTATTTAGGGCTTTTTACAGAGTTAAAAATGGGTCGTTCTCGTGGAAATTTCCAAGCTGATGAAGATCCCAGCCAAAGGTACATTTATTGTTCTCTAGTTTAATGTGGTAATGATTAGATTTTTATTGCTAAATTTATTAGCCAACAGTCGTGTCAGGAATTGTAGGGAGTCAATTACTCAAATGATCACTCAACTATCTCAAATTATATCTTAAAGTTACTTTTCTTTCGTTTGTAATAACAAAGTCATTGAAGTATGCCTATTGCACTCAGAAGGCCTTCATGACAGCAACAATATCTCTCCCTAGGTGGCAGAATAACCCTTATTAACAGTGTTTTGGATAGCATACCTACTTACTTTATGTCCCTCTTCAAACTTCCAGCTATTGTTCAGAAATAGCTTGCCAAGCTCAGATGTTCATTCCTATGGGAGGGCAACAATAAAGATCATAAATTTCACCTTGTGAAGTGGGCTAAGGTAATCCTCCCTAAGTCGCTTGGGGGACTAGGGGTCAAGGATTTGGCTTTACATAACAAGAATATGCTTATGAAATGGCACTGGAGGTATAATAAAGAAGGAATGGCTTTCTGGAAGGAGGTAGTCCAAGCCAAGTATGGTTGTGACAGCCACTAGTGCTCTACTTTTGCTAATACTCCTTATAGTTGTGGGTTATCGAAGGGCATCAGGTCATTGTGGGATTCGTTCTCTCTTAATACATCACTCTAGTTGGGCAACGATGAACATATCCTATTCTGGAAGGACTTATGGATAGGAACTACCACATTGAAAAATGCTTATCCAAGAATGCTCTCGCTTGCGTCTAACCCAGATTCTACAGTTGCTCAGAATTGGGTAGAGAACTCATAGTACCCTCACTTAAGAAGAAAACTGAATGATTGGGAGATTGAGGACTTACCGGCTCTTCTTGGTAGTCTCCAAAGTGCTTCAGTCAACGTTCAGATTATGGACAAACTCAAATGAGGCAACAGGAGGGGAGGCTCTTTTTCAGTCAAAGAAAGTTATTTTAATCTGAGCTCTAATAAAGTATTGATTGATCGATGGCCGTGGAAACTTGTATGCAAGCTCCCTCCAAAGATCAGTGCTTTCTGCTGGACTGCTCTACATGGCGCTTGCCTAACTCAAGACAACCTCATCAGAAGAAATTTCTAATTAGCCAACAGATGTCACATGCTGCAACTCTGAATCGATCAATCACCTGTTTCTACATTGTTCAGTCACTGACCTATGGTCTATGTTCCTCTCACTTTTTGGACTGCATTGGACTATGCCATGTAGTGTCAGGGAAGCCTTTATGTGTTGGAGCTACTGGGAAGTTGACAAATCCATCAAGAAAATCTGGTCTATGGTTCCTGCTTCTATTTTGTGGTGCTTATGGACTGAGAAGAATCAAACATACTTTGATGATATTTCAACTGCCAGATGTCAACTTAAGGCTAGATGTTTAGTTTTCCTTTTTAGTTGGGTTAACCATACTCCTGTATATAATCTTGACCTTTTTTTGGAATTTCTCAGCTCCATAATCTTCTGATTGTTTTTGTCTACCTTATAAGCTGATACTTGTCCTATTTTGTAATTCTGCATCCTCTGGATGCTTTTGTTATTAATATACCACTTACTTCATAAAAAAAGGTCACTCAACTAGATTTTTCAAATTTTGGATTGCCAAATACCTATTTTACCCTCTAAATTATAAATATTTATCTTCTTTTATTATTTTTAAAACTTTTAATATTATGATTTTCCCTTTTTAATTTATATTATGGACTTACCTATAGAATAAATAAATATTATTTATAAATTAAAAAAATAAAAATTATTTAAGCATCTATAATGCTGGAATAACAAAATAATGAGCATAGAATTAATTAGAATAATTTATTTTTAATAGTAATTTTAGTATTAACAACAAAAATTCAAATATTTATTTACACAATTCAGAATGAAAGAAAATAAAGGTTGTAAAATGTATATTCCATGTACGTAATATAAAAATAATTATTTAAATAAAAGTATTTTTATAATATACATTATATATTCTTGAAAATTATGCTCAATTATATTATATATATTCCATGCACGACTTAACATAACATATTTTACCCTATACAAATAATCCCCATGCTTTTCGGTAATATAACTTTGTGTCGTCGGAAAGTTGGTATTGAACATAATTTTTAAGAATATATAATGTATATTATAAAAATACCTTTATTTAAATAATTATTTTTATATTACGTGCATGAAATATATATTTTACGACCTTTATTTTCTTTCATTATGAATTATGTAAATAAATTTTGAATTTTTGTTGTTAATACTAAAATTATTATTAACAAATTATTCTAATTAATTTTTTTACTATGCTTATTATTTTGTTATCCCAGCATTATATATGCTTAAATAGTTTCTATTATTTTTAATTTATAAATAATATTATTTATTCTATAGGTAGTCCATAATATATTTGGAAACAGCCTCTCAACCCCAGGGTAGGGGTAAGGTATGCGTGCACACTACCCTCCCCAGACCCCACTAGTGGGATTATACTGGGTTGTTGTTGTTGTTGTTCTAGTCCATAATATAAATTAGAAAGTGAAAATCATAATATTAAAAAGTTTTAAAAAAATAAAAAGAAGATAAATTAATGTTTATAATTTAGAGGGTAAAATATGTATTTGACAATCCAAAATTTGGAAAATCTAGTTTAGTGACCTTCTGAATACAATATGCATAGTTCAGTGACTTTATTGTTACAAACGAAAGTAAAATGATTTTAGGAGATAATTTGGGATAATTGAGTGATCATTTGAATAATGGACTCGAATTGTAGGTATGATTGCCTTTTAGTTGGTATAAACTACTAATGGGTGTTAAATTCTTGTTTTTTTTTCTTCTTCTATTTTTTGTGGTAAAGATTAGATTTTATTGCTAAGTTGATTAGTCTATAGTCGAAAGTATCATTTGGTTATAGGTGTATACTACTAATGGGTGTTAAATTGTTAGGTTTATCTTGTTTTTCTAGTAAAGATTAAATTTTTATTGCTAATGTTGAGCAATCAGTTTGTTGAAGAGCATCTTTTAGCTATAGGTTTTAAAACTCGTTATGGGTGTTAATTTCTTGGGTTTATCTTGTTTTTCTGGTAAAAGATTGGATTTTTATTTATAGCGATTAGTCAACTTTTGAAAATTAGCTCTAGTTTCTGCTTTTATTGTGCGATGGCAAGCATTGGCGCTGTGGTAGAGTTGCTCCCTTAGTGACCTACAACCTCTTTGCAAAAATGCAAGGGGAAAGCTGTTTACATTATATGCTCGCCCTTCTTCAATCCTGCACTATTCGGTGTACGAATGCCACATTGGTATTGGTCCCAGTGCACTTAAGCTTTCACTATATGCGGGGTCCAGGAAGGGCCGGATCACAATATTGTACGCAGCCTCACCCTGCATTTCTTGCAAGAGGCTGTTTCCACGGCTCGAACCCGTGACCTCCTAGTCTCATGACATCAACTTTACCAGTTACGCCAATACTCCCCTTTCAGATTGGTATTGAGCATTCCTTCCTCATTTGTGAGTGAGCAGATTGAAATTTGGCATTATGAATTTATATATAAGCATTCTTTTCAATTTTCCAAAGAACTGGATAGTACTAATGCTAATGGTATGTGATTAGTACTTATGAATTTCGATTCTTTTATAGATGAACTGTTAGAGGAAATTGGATGCTTTCTTTTCCCTTTTCCTTTTATTTTCTTAGTTAGTTCTTGCTAATTTGGTGTAGTTTCATTACCCATTTTTCTTACTTTAGATCAAGGAGGAAAAGGAATGCCTCAAGTGGAGAAAATTCAGAATCTGTGACTACTGGTAAGTTTCTTCTAACTATTTTTCAATTTCAGTTCTAATTATTGTGGATCACAGTATATTATGGTTAAAGTCCAGTCGGATTTTGATTCTCGTGGCTGACAGTTATTATAATTGATTATCTTCTTTTGTAGTTTTGTATCCCTTCATAATAGGTTTTTGAATTTTGTCATTTGGCAAAGGTTTTGTTTCCATAAACTTACAAGGTGCTTGGATTGGCTTTTAACCTGGTCTAATGAGCTTTTAATCTCTTTTTAGCTTTTTCTGGTGTTCGATAAAGTTAAAAAGTGCTTAAAATAAGTTAAAAAATTACTTAAAACAAGCCAAAAACAATAAGTTGGGAAACCTAACTTATTACTTTTTGACTTAAAAGTTATTTTCGACGAAAAACCACTTTTTTTAAGTCAATCCAAACGGGCGCTTAATCAAGTTTATTGGTTGATGAACTCAACGGTGACTAAAACAGAAACTGCCATCCTTTTGCCATTTTCATTTTAGAAATGAATATATTTCCTATTACAAGACAAGGATAAAATTCTTAAAGTGCATTTTTTTTTTTCATATGCACCTTC